CCTGAAGGGGAGGCTACGGAGCCCAGGCTTTTGCATGTAAGCAGTGAGGAAGACGAGATCTTTGTTTAGGAAGGTCATTCTGTGGCTGGACCAGACAGAGGAGAAACCGGGGGCCAAGGGATCCATTAAGGGCAAAGCAGTAGCCCAGGTAAGAGATGGTGAGGCTCGGCCGGGCGCGGTGGCTCACACCTGCAATCCCAGCACTTTGGGAGGCCAAAGTGGGCGGATCACGAGGTCAGGATTTCAAGACCAGCCTGACCAACATGGTGAAACCCCGTCTTTACTAAATATACAAAAATTAGCCAGGTGTGGTGGCAGGCACCTGTCATCCCAGCTACTCAGGAGGGTGAGGCAGGAGAATCCCTTGAACCCACGAGGCAGAGGTTGCAGTGCGCCAAGATCGCGCCATTGCACTCCAGCTTGGTTGACAGAGTGAGACTCCGTCTCAAAAAAAAAAAAAAAAAAAAATGGTAAGGCTCAAGAGGAGGTGGTGGGGCAGAGGCCTCAGGGACCTGAAGGGAGAGGAGTCAAGGGTGACCACAAGATTCCTAGTTGAGTCACAAATCAATGAAGCCCTGAACTGCTGGAAAGTTCTAGATCTACAGATACTCCAGGTCACAGCAAGGCACCCTGAGATCAGCGCTTTAACATAAAATTGCAGTGAGTGTCCTAAAACCCCAGGCAGCTGCAGATTCAGGAGATGACTCCAAGGCTGCCTTTGTATCCTAACAATCACAAAGCTTCTAGCAGCTTACTCTCCATAACACTCCACGTAGTCCAAGAGCCCTGCATGCTGGAGCTCACCAGACATCCTTATAAAAATCCAAGGGCCCTTTCCTTTAGATACAATTCCTCAACTGTAGAGTATTAAATAACTTGCCGGGTGTGGTGGCTCATGCCTGTAATCCCAGAACTTTGGGAGGCTGAATGCGGGTAGATCACCTGAGGTCAGGAGTTCAAGACCAGCCTGGGCAACATGATGAAACACTGTCTCTACTAAAAGTACAAAAATTAGCTGGGTGCAGTGGCGCGTGCCTGTAATCCCAGCTAGTTGGGAGGCTGAGGCAGGAGAATCACTTGAGCCCGGGAGGCGGAGGTTGCAGTGAGCTAAGATTGTGTCACAGCACTCCAGCCTGGGCAACACAGCGAGACTCTATCTCAAAAAAAAAGAATACCGTATAACCCCAGGTGTTGCCAAAGATGTTCACTCAGAATTGAACTCTGAAGTCTTCCAGAAGTCTGTTAACCACAAAACTGTCTATCTCCAAAGTAGAAGCAAAGATAAAGAAATGTTTGTTGAATGGCTGATGTCCACTGCAAGCTGGGTGCATTAACCAAATTTCACTTTGAAGACTATGCACGTGGCAAAATTAAATGCACCAATAGTACTAACATAAAGGTAGGCAGGAAGGCACCTAATGTACTACAATAGCTTGTATAGCATCAGCCTCATCCAGTGATCAAGGTGACCAAATAAATCATCTTTAATACACACTCACACACACACACAACACACACAGAGTATAGACTCCAAAGTTTCCATTGTAAGACACATTTGCTGACACTACTAGTGTGCACTTGATGCCCTGGATCCTCAAGACATCACCAGGTGCCAGCGCAGGGGCTCACGCCTATAATCCCAGCATTTTGGGAGGCCAAAGTGGGTGGATCACGAGGTCAGGAGTTTGAGACCAGCCTGGCCAACATAGTGAAACCCTATCTCTACTAAAAATACAAAAAAAAAATTAGCCAGGTGTGGTGCCAGGTGCCTGTAATCCCAGTTACTTGGGAGGCTGAGGCAAGGAGAGTCACTTGAACCTGGGAGGCGGAGGTTGCAGTGAGCCGAGATCGCGCCACTGCACTCCAGCCCGGGTGACAGTGCGAGACTCCGTCTCAAAAAAAAAAAAAAGACATCACTGGGTTTGGTGAGAAGAGACAGCACACATACCTGCCTGGCACTTGGCTGCTCTTCTTTGGAGACAGAGGGTACAGTTTATATCCCGCAGTTTTACTCAACAGGGGATACCACCAGCAGTTTGGCCAGGGTAATCCTGTATGGGACTGTCCCCTACACCATGTAAATTGGGCATTTACAATTCTTAACTACATCCTCCCAAATGCCAGTAAGTTATTGAGAAAACCTGAAACACCCCCATACATTTTCAAACGCCCCCTAGGGTTGCCACACTACCTCCGGTGAAGAACTCTTGCAGTATTCACCGATGAGGTTTTTCTCTATAAATACTCTGTTTTCCTACCTGGTGAAAATAATGACTGCCCGTACTTGTCCATCTGATATGGTATAAAGAAATAATCTTTTTTTTTTTCAAAGAAGCAACATGTCAAATAAGCCTTCAATGTTCTAGAGTTCACTGCTATTTTTCAGCAGAAGCAAATCACTGAGCTAAATTACAAAGAGACCATAGCTATCTCCAGGGCTTTAAAAGGCTGATGCAGTATTTTTTCTTGGAGAATTTAAAAATAAAATGCAGTTCAAACTCTAGAACCTACAGTGAGGTTTTTCTCATAAATTCTGGAACATTACAAGTTCTATAAATCAAACCCTGAAGAATGAGAGTACCAAGGCAAAGAACCCTCAGAACAAAGATTATGCAAAAGGATCACTGGTGATTTTCTATTTTTACATGAATTATAATGGCAGTGAAATAAAACTTGCCCTTCTGAACTCCACCCCCATACTTGTGCTACGATTATTAAAGTACTTTGCATTGGGAATATACTTTAATTCCAAGACTTCGAGTGCTAACATTTGGACAGAATGTACTGACTAAGTTATATTAATCAAATGGTTAGTAATAAACCTTTCTCTACCATAAAGTAAATCCTTTTTAAAAAAAGAAAAAAAAAGTCTAATCCTTCCTAACCCAAGAAATATGCCCAAGGGTATCTACAGGAATGGCTGCAGTAACTGGCAAATGCTGGCAGGAGTTTTCCAATGATTGAAGTCAACAAATCCTCAGGAAACATGCTCAGACAGATGGTACTTAAAAAAAAACCAAAAACCTACTGCATTTAGATTTATAGGAAGATTTTTCACTTACTTCAAATTTCTGTATAATCCTCGTTCCTCTAAGTTAAAGGAGGAAAGAAAATCACACTGCAATTCCTTATTTTTCTAATTTAAAAAACAAAACAAAACACGTTATATCCTCGAATCCAGCTTTGGATGTCTTCGAGTATTTTCTTGGAGTCTCTTTCCAGTGAATACTACTTTCAAATTCTAAGCACAAAGTAAAATCCCAAATGTTAGCCCAAATAGCGTTGTACAAAATCAAAGATCACGATGTCAACAAGCAACTGCATCTATCAGAAGCAATGATGATTCAGAACAGGATAAATTTAGAATGGTGTTTTCCAAAAGGCTTTCTGGATGTCAAATTTAGGAAACAGGTAAAGGCTACATCCCAAAAGTTCCTCTCCAAAAAGAACGCCAAAATATTAATAAAAAGAGTCTTCTTTTTGAAGTTTTTCGTCCCCTAGTGTCCTCGAGGCTGAACTTCCCCAACCTGGACTCGGTGAAGCCATCCATTACTGGGCAAATCCACGTGAAACCTGAGGACACTTCAGCCTGGGGAGGACGCAGTCAGAGCAGTGAAGCAACTTCACATGGGACGGGCCTTTTATGGCCTGAACTCGAGAGCCTTGATACCAGCTCATCTACCAGAAATAGCTCTGGAAATTCAGAGGAGCCCATCAGCTGTTGCAGCAGGCCTGGCCAGCAGCTACTTCAAATGCAATTAGGTTGTCCACACTGTCTTTCGGCTTGCTTTATAGAGAAATTAAAAACACAACAGCAGTCTACTGAATAAGCTACAACAATACAGACTTGGATGAACAAACATTTCTCTAACTTAGTTTTTTTGGGCTGAAAATACAGCACACAATCGTTGATAAAGCTCAGACACTGAACACCCCAAAAGTAAGTAACAGACATATATGCAATGAATACCCGAAAAGTAACTAACAGACGTACACATCTATGAAACAGCATGATATAACGGCACATGTCTCTACAAGTTTACAAATTCTGTAACCTCTGTGGATTTCTTCCCACTTCCAATAACTGTAGAAAATGAATCATCAGAAGAAAGCATTGTGCTGGAAGTACTTTCCCGAAAATGACACAAATATTTTATCTTAAAGCCAAAGTCAGTCCTCTGAACTGGCAAGATCTATCTTCCTATGTCTCTCAGGTAGCTTACCTCACTGAAAAACCAGATAAACCTAAACTAGTGAAAAAAATATTAACTATGAAGCACAACCACTTCTTAAATGGTCATATGCATTTTTTTAAACATTAAAAGGCCACTGACATGTTGAATACACTCAAATGTCACAACCGTGTTTACAAAAATACTTACAATTGTAGGTCTCTCTCCCTGTCGGTACCAAGAACAGAGAGTCTTAATTGTCTGCGCCAACTTCAATATAGACCACAAACCCCGTAAGACTTGGGCTGGAGTACAGCAAAAGCTGTGTGCTGCGCCGGGCCTCCCAGTGGTATGCCTCTGGGTGTCAGGGTTCTCAGACCACCAGCTGCTTCAGCCAGCACCGGAGGCCTCTCTAAGCAGTATCTAAATTCCTGTTACTAATTAACCCTACAGAACAATGCCTCTCCCTAAGAGGAGAGTCCTGAGGCCAGGTGAAGAGATGACAGGTGTAATAATTAAACATTGGTTTCACAACCGTTTAGTGCTAGGGGTAAAAAAAAATTGTCCCAGCCAACTTTTTTTTTTTTTTTTTTTTAACCCATCTCAAGATGACAAACAAAATTTCATAGCATGGCTTCTGCATCCTAATCTCAGTCCTGACCCTGATCTTCTTTTCCCTTGGACCATATTGGCTTTTTCCTCATTTTAAAGTTTATTTGATCTTGTTTTACGTATTTTTATAAGCTGTGTTAAGCCCCTCCCTAGAGAAAAGTAGGGCAAAAATATATAAAAGCTTACATAAAACAGTTCACTATCTGGGTCTTCTCTGTAAAGAGAAGATAAGAGGAGAAAATGAATCGCTGTTACCACAATAGTGCTATTTCCTTCCTAAAAAAGATTCACTCCCACAAAATAAACATCGATCTTTTGTATGCCTCTTAAGCACTGCTTCCCTGTAGCAACCAAACTGTCCTAGATTAATGCACTGGAGTCGAATAGGGTAAGTCTCCTTCGTCACTTCTTTTACATATCCTTTTTGTCTTTGATTATTTAAATCCCAGTTAATTCTTCCTGTGCAATCCATGTAAACACTTTCCTAATTTTTTGCTATCTGCCTGACTTAGAAGACTCATCACACTCACTTCTTTCCAGTGATGATAATCATGAATCGGAAGAAAAATCAACATACAAAAGATGTCAGTTATCTGCCAACTGATCTACAGGTTAACACAATTCCTATCAAAATCTTGCAAGGTGTTTTTTGGTTTTGTTTTGTTTTGAGACATGGTCTTGCTCTGTTGTCCAGGCTGGAGTAGAGTTGGGCAATCATGGTTCACTGCAGCCTCAATCTCCCCAGTTCAAGCAATCCTCCTGCCTCAGTCTCCTGAATATCTGGGGCTACAGTTGTGCACCACCACAATGGGCTAATTTTTTAATTTGTTAGTTTTTATAAAGATGGGGTCTCATTAGGTTGCCCAGACTTGTCTCGAACTCCTGGGCTTAAGCCATCCTCCCACTTTGGCCTCCGGAAGTGCTAGGATTACAGGTGTGAGCCACCGTGCCTGGCCTCACAGTGATTTTTGGCAGATATTCTAAAATTTATACGTAAAGGTACAGGCCCTAAAATAGCTAAAAACCATCTTGAAAAAGAAGAAAAAAGTTAGGCCGGGCATGGTGGCTCATGCCTGTAATCCAGCACTTTGGGAGGCTGAGGTGGGTGGATCACCTGAGGTCAGGAGTTCGAGACCAGCCTAACCAACATGGCGAAACACTGTCTCTACTAAAAATACAGAAAAATTAGCCGGGCGTGGTGGTGCATGCCTGTAATCTCAGCTACTAGGGAGGCTAAGGCAGGAGAATCACTTGAACCCAACCCCGGGAGACAGAGGTTGCAGTGAGCCAAGATCGTGCCACTGCACTCCAGCCTGGGCAACAGAGTGAGACTCTGTCTCAAAAGAAGAAAAAAGTTAGAGCAATTAATCTATCCCATATTAAGGCCAACTGGATAACTGCAGTAATCAAGACAATGCAGCACTGGCAAAAAGACAGACACATAACATAGATCAGTGGAACAGACCGAAGAACCCAGAGACAGGTCCACATGAATATGCCAAACTGATTTCTATGCCATTCAACAAATAGTGCTAGAGCAATTAGACACCCCTAGGCAAAAGCAATGAGCTTCTACCCAATCCTCATTGTGGTACGTCCATACCATGGAATACTACTTATCAATAAAAAGGAAAAAATTATTAGTACATGCCACGACCTGGATAAGAATCCAGGGAATTATGCTGAGTGACCGAAGGCCAATTCCAAAATGTTAGATATTATACAAGTACATTTACATAACATTTCCCAGATGACAACGTTATAGAAATGGAGAAGAGATGGGAGTTGTTAGAGGTGAGGGATGAGGGTGAGGTGGTTTAGCAGGGCCACATGAGAGACCCCTGTTCTGGAACTCTTCTATTGGATTGACCATATCAGTATCAATATCCTGGTTGTGATACTATTGTATAGCTTGGAAAGATGTTATCACTGGAGAAACTGGGTAAAAAGCCCTCATGATCACTTTGTATTATTTCTTACAACTACATCTGAATCTATAATTATCTCAAAATTAAAAGTTTAATTAAGCTGGGAGGGGTGGCTCACACCTGTAATCCCAGAACTTTGGGAGGCTGTGGCAGATGGATTACCTGAGGTCAGGAGTTTGAGACCATCCTAGCCAATGTGGTGAAACCCTGTCTCTACTAAAAATACAAAAATTAGCCAGGCATGGTGGCTGGCAAGTGCCTGTAATCCCAGCTACTCAGGAGGCTGAGGCAGGAGAATTGCTTGAACCCGGGAGGCAGAGGTTGCAGTGAGCTGAGATTGTGCCATTGCACTCCAGTCTGGGTGGCAAGGGTGAAACTGACTCAAAAAAAAAAAAAGGTTTAATTAAGTATTTTTTCCAAGGAAAAAGCACCCCAACTCCAAAAAACAAACCTACTTCAAATGAAATTTTCAAATATAATCCATTTGTAAATGGGTGACTTACTGTAACTGTATTTCACATAAATCTATACAGATTTACTTATTATCAGTGCCATCTTAAGAATTTCAAACTGGAAATATTTCTTTTTCCCTACAAGAATGAAAGTTAATCCAAAAGTAAAATATCTGATATAGAATAAGAAATGGAGAGTATCGCTTTCCAATCGAATGTGTTTATTTACCAGGCTGTGTAGATACTTTAAAAGAGCACCTCTAATATCTAAGGCCCATCCAAAAATAAAAAAGGAAACCTGTACATAATTTTCAGAAATTTCATCTACTGCCCCAGATTATTAATTTTTAAAACCTGACCTACCCTGGAGAAATAGCAAGAAAACAACTTTTTGGAAAGGGAGGAGATCGGGTCATCTCAATTTTTGATTATATTTCATTTTTAGAGATGGGGTCTCACTATTTTGCTCAGGCTGGTCTTGAACTCCTGAGTTCATGTGATCCTCCTGCCTCAGCCCTCTGAGTAACTGGGATAATGAAACCGTGCCACTGCACTGGTCTTCCGATGTGAATACTGCTATAAATATAATAGAAAACAAGTTTTTGAAATCTGTTCTCTAGAACTTTTCCTTTGTCATTTTTGTTTTACTTTTTCTTGAGACAGAGTCTCACTGTGTCGCCAGGCTGGAATGCAGTGGCATGATCTCGGCTCACTGCAACCTCTGCCATCCGAGTTCAAGTGATTATCCTGCCTCAGCCTCCCAAGTAGCTGGGACTACAGGTGTGCGCCACCAGACCCAGCTAAGTTTTGTATTTTTAGTATGACGGGGTTTCACCATGTTGGCCAGGATGGTCTTGATCTCTTGACTTCATGATCTGCCCACCTCGGCCTCCCAAAGTGATGGGATTACAGGCATGAGCCACTGCACCTGACCCCCATTTTTTTTTTTTTTTTGAGATGGAATTTCACTCTTGCTGCCTAGGCTGGAGTGCAATGGCACGATCTCGACTCACTGCAACCTTCGCCTCCCGAGTTCAAGCGATTCTCCTACCTCAGCCTCCCAAATAGCTGGGATTATAGGCACGTGCCACCACATCCGGCTAATTTTTGTATTTTTAGTAGACGGGGTTTCACCATGTTGACCAGGCTGGTCTCGAACTCCTAACCTCACATGATCTGCCTGCCTTGGCCTCCCAAAGTGCTGGGATTACAGGAGTGAGCCACTGTACCTGGCCGAACTCTTTATTCTTGAAAATAAATAGGTAACAGTTCAGCTTCCCAGAAGTAGAATGGGCAGATGGAGGATTCAGGGCCCTTTATCCTCTCAGTTTCCATAACATAAAACCTAGACCCAAACTCCCTGAATCGCCACTTTGGAGGCCAGTCGAACTTATGCTGGACTTTTCTGGTGCTTTGGGGAACACCAGGTCATACACGGAAAAGATGAGGCTTCCTTTCAGTTCGCTGAGGAGGC